ATACAGTGAGGAAAATAGAGGAATTGAAGACTTTCAGGTTTGACCCTAAGTAATTATAATTAGTTGTCAGATGTTTTTGACAGAAATAGGGAAGTCAGAGGGTAAGCTGATTTTGTGAAAGAGAAGGTATAGTTACTTTCTGTGAATTCTAGTCTCCAGCTGCAGATGAATAATATTGTGACACTGCGGAAATGTAGAATTGACTCTGGTATCTCTGCTGATAGTTGTGGAACATGAGAATACTGCCATAAGATAGGCAAACATCTGATTTTCGTAAAAGGACATGGAACAGGCCACCACCTACAAAAATTACTAACATTCATGAGCTCCATGTCAGTGCCTGGCAAAACAGGATTATTAAACAGATGGTATGTGAGCACTTAAGTAATGAAGTAGTGATCACCAGGAAACACCATGAGTTCACCATAACAAAATCATATCAAAGTAACTTAATTTTTTTTAATAGGATTACTAGATCAGAGAAGGCCATTTAGACAGTATAAAGCATTTAACTAAGTCGTTTGTTGTGGACAAGTTGAAGAAATGTGATCTTAATAATAGTTCAGTAAGTATATTCATGACTGGTTATATAATCATATCTAGAGATATAAATTTAATGAGAGGCAATATAGGGAGGTGGTTAAAGTATGGTTTCTGGAACCAGCCTGCCTGAGTTTAAATTCTGGCTCTGCCACTTACTAGTTATGTGACCTTAGGCAAGTTACTTTATCTTTTTAAGCTTTAATTCCTCACCTGTAAAAATAGGGGTAATAATAATTATACTTACCTTGTAGCATTGTTTTGAAAATTAAATAAATTTTCACAAAGCACTTAGAATAATAAGCATTTAATAAGCGTTGGAGGGCCAGCCCGGTTGCACAGCGGTAAAGTGCGCACATTCAGCTTTGGCGGCCCAGGGTTCACCGGTTCAAATCCCAGGTGCAGACATGGCACCGCTTGGCAAGCCATGCTGTGGTAGGAGTCCCGCATATAAAGTAGAGGAAGATGGACACGGATGTGAGCTCAGGGCCAGTCTTTCTCAGCAAAAAGAGGAGGATTGGCAGCAGATGTTAGCTGAGGGCTAATCTTTTTCAAAAAAAATTTAAAATAAAAATAAATAAATAAATGTTGGATATTTTTTTAACCAGGAGGAACATCTATAATGACTTGCTGTTAAGTCTCTTACCTGAACTGTCTCATTTGACATTTTTATCTAAAATCTAAATGAAAACACAAGAATTTGAATTTAACGTTAACCCAAATCTGGGAAAGAGAGAGCCAATACATTAATAGCAGGATCAGGCTAACAAAAGACCTTGTTAGGCTTAAAGATAAACTGAACCTGGCAAGATAAAATTTAAGAAGAATATGAAATCTTCTTTTTAGTTCTGGCATCCAGTTTACTACGACTGACTACAACTTCATTTGAGGCTGCGTTGTAAAAATGCAGAAACTAATTTAGTGAACAGAACAAAGGAAATAGTAGCCCCACTGTGGGCTGGTGGTAGTAGTTGGAACTTATATTCATGCTGGTTGTATTTGTTAGAACATATATTCATGCTCTGCACAATTTAATAGAAACATCAATAAACTTAGGTAATAATCCAGAATGATGAATAGGTTTGTAAACCATAAGTGGAACTAAGGACACTTTTAACCTGGAAAAGAAAAGTTGAGATGTGTATTAGACCGGTCTTCAAATATCTGAAAAGATAGTATATAGGATATAGATTGGATTTGTTTGGTAAGGCTCATTTTGGGAAAACTAGCTTCAGGAAAGCAGATTTTAGCTTAGTATAAAGAATGTTCTAATGATTGTAGCTCTTTAAAAATGAATAGGCTGATTTGTGAATTTGTAAGCTTCTCAACCTTAGAAGTATTCAAGCAGAGGCAGGACTACTTGTCAGGGATATTGCAGTGAGAGTTCCTGTATTGGGTGGGAAATTCGAGCTTTGACGTCTCTCCTGGTGCTAATACTCGGTAATATATTGAGGACTTCAATTTTACACATGCTGAATAATTTCATTTAACTGTTTTATCTTCATAAATTGATGATGGTAATTGCAGCTTATGTTATAGACCTTGAATCTCAAAATGACTGTAGCAGCAGTTGAAGTGAATTTGGAAGAGGAATTTGGTTGCCAGTCATTTTAACAGACCTATCCTGTGTACAGGCTTATACTCTATTTCAAAAGGGATTGGAATCAGGGTATAAAAACATGTAGGTAGGAACTCCTTTGAGAGTTTTCAGAGTATAGAAAAACCCACTGAGTAAGCATAGGACACAATCTTGTAAGTCTATGAGAGAGAAGGAATAGATAAATATAAAACAGTATATAAAGTATTTATGTCAAATATATCAAGCACCCTTTTGAATCTGTTAACCACTCAAAATGCGTTTTTTCATTAGTCTTTCAAAGATTCCTAAGATACATAGCAATGATTAGCAATTTCTCAATTTGTGTTTAATTATTATATAGCAGATTTTTAAAACAGAAAGATATAAAAACATACCTCACCTTGACAGCATGAAACATTACTTTTTTTAGCATTTGAATATCAATGATAAAGGATGTTCTTGAAGCTTTTCCCTTAAAACACTTGAACATGTTTAGAATGACTTTGTTATACATATGGGTACACAAATATCTTCATTACAACATCTTGGTAAAAATGTATTATTCTTTTCCCTTAAACTTCTATAACAGACTTTTAATACTCTGTGGTAGATATTTGAAGACAAGCTTTGGTTAAAAGATAAAACTACAGTTGCCCTTTTCTCTCGTTTCTTTAGATAAGTGGGCACTAGAAATTATAGATAGCTTTGGCAAGAGTTCAAGGGTTAATGTAGCAGATAAATAAAAGGAATTTTCTGTAAATTGAGACCTGCATTATTTCAGTTGTCTTGTCTTTCCTAACCTAACTCATTTAATTTTAAAAAGTAAATACTTAAATTCTTCCTGACAGTGTGCTCAGCTTTTACTATCGTTTATTACTTCAATTATACTTGATATCACTTAGAACAATCTGCCATTTGGAAATCTCAGTATAGCCTGGAGCTTAGTATTAGATCTGGCTGCTATTGTAACATGTACAGCATATGACATTAATGTATCAAAATTAGATTGGATCATCCCTCCTGGTTAAATTTATTTCACATTTCTTTTGTATTCAGTTAACATAAACCTATTAGAGAAGCTGACACATGGGGATGGCTGTATAGGAAGGATATTTTTAAAGTATTTTGATTAAAAAATGAAATTATAGAGCCATGGCTTTTCTAAGTTGTGTAATCTTTTTTGGTTTTTAAAAATGTCACAGAGCCCAAGTCCTGCATTTATATCATTCAAGGTGTGTATGTGTGGTATAAATAATGAAAATTAAAACTTAAACAATATTTTGATGTTTGAGGCCTACCATCATGTATTTAGAGCAGTAAGCACATTTATGGTTTCCAAAAAGAATTATTTAATCCACTGAAACCTAAAAAAAAAGTCTTCCTTAAAAGAAAATATAAACCTTTATACTATATTTCTAAAATAATAGATTCAGGTCTATAGATGTAGCTCGGCACTATCTTTAGAGTAATAGCTGCCTCCACCTTATAATCTATCAAAGTGTCTGAGAAGGCTTTTCTCGCTTAGGAATACAAATTTTAAAGTTCAGGGATTTACCTTGTATTCTCAAATACTTAATGACATTCATAGTGATTAGGATTTTCTAGATAGATTGGTTTTGGGGACTTTAAGACCCATTAGAACACTGATTCTTGGCTTTTCTTGTATTTGGAGTTTTTTTGTATTTTTTTTTCTGTTTGATAGACTCTCTCCTCAGAAAAATACACAAATAAAATTTTACAAATAATTTTCAAATATGCACAAACCCCTTGAACCCAGGTTAAGAACTTCAGGGCTAAAGGGTAACGGAAGAGAGCCTTTCATTAAGTGAACTTCACTCCTTTCTTCTTTAAATCACACACTTAACTTTTTTCCTGCCATGTGGTCTTTAAGCCCAAATAAATTGCACATTTCAAAAATAGAAGTTGTCTGTATATTAGCTCATACTAAAAATATTGATGACACTTAGACTAGTTTTCTCTTCCAAACTTTCCCACCTACGATGTGTCCACTTACCTGAAAGTAATCAAAAAGCCCGTGGGAGATGCGCACCAAAAATGGAGTCGAATGTCTGCAGTGGCAGGAGCACTAAATGCAGTCAGACAACCACATTTTATGTTGAAATACATGTTTATGCGAGAATCGATAAAGAAAATTCAAGACAAGTGGGTAGTAGGTTCACTTTTCTAACAAACTTATTAGAAATCCAGTTTTTGGTTGCTTTGCTTTTTGATAATTTTAGTCATCATAACGTTAACCCTCTCTGATTGCCAGAAACACCTTTGTAAGCACCACAAGTATTTAATAACATCCTGAGAGTCTAACAAATCTCAAAAAGTCTATTTGGAAGAATTTCACGGGCAAAGAAAACCTGGAAATAAATTTGTTAAACCAAATATAATCAACTTTTCTCTTACTCAATAGGTGATTACCCAATTTATGAAATATCTCTTTCTTTTACTTCTCTTCCTGTTGTCTCCAAAGGCTCCTTCTCTGCTCATTAGCACTTCCAGAGAGTGGTCAGAAAAAAAGAGTCTTAAATCAGGCACTTTTTAAAAACAATCTTTTAAAAGGTTTCATAGTGGAGAATTGGTGCAGTTGCTAGTTAAGAATACTGAGACTGTGTGTGAATCTTTTTTGTCTGACTTCTCTGTTTCCCATTGACCGTAGACAGTTGAAAATTATCTGGTTTTCTGCAGTGTCTCCTAAAGCTTTTGAGTGTTTGTATTTCACGTGTTGTGAGACATGATCAAATGAAATATTTAAAATATGGTTTTTTATTTCTCTACCTTTTAACCTTTTTCTAGTATGTTGTCAGTAGCTATATGACTATACTCCCAGGGCTTTTCTAAAGCACCATGAACTCTTTTCTTGGTTTTCCAGTTGAGACATTTAGGAAATGATGAAGTGCACATTGTTTGGTCAGAGCATACTAGAGACTACAGAAGAGGAATTATTCCTACAGAATTTGGTGATGTCCTTATTGTAATATATCCAATGAAAAATCACATGTTCAGTATCCAGATAATGAAAAAACCAGAGGTAAGAACTCATCATCTTACATTTTAATAATATATTTTGAGTTCTATATGGGTTGTGAGTTTCATTCCTCCTTTCAAAAGGATTAGACTAGGCATCAAGTTGTGAAAATGGAGGGAAATGAGACACAGACTCTGGTAGCTATGTGAGTTGTCTAAGTCTAGTTCAGAAGGAGCTAAAACAGGAAAAATAGCAAGAAACTGTATTCAAATGGGAAAAGGCTAGATAGTGCCAGAGTGGAAGTTGCTTTATACTAAGCTCACAGAAGGACCTACCTTTTGTTAAGAGGATGATTGCAGTTTCCTAAAAGATACATGAGAAGTAATCATTCCCTTTAGAAGAGCAACGTCTGATTCCTGTATTTTTAGTTGATGCATCTTACCAAGACGGCATAATTGTTTAGTCATGTCACTTAATAAATGAGAGTTCTACAAAGTAAAAAAGAAAAAAGCCAAGTAATTCTACTTGGATGTCCTATACCATACGGTTGAAACACACTTGCAGAAGTATTTTCTTTCAAAATAATAAAAATTGTAGTATTTTGCTGTCTTTCTTACTTTTTTTTTTTTAAAGCTTGGCACCTGAGCTAACAACTGTTGCCAGTCTTTTTTGTTTTTTTTTCCTGCTTTATCTCCCCAAATCCCCCCAGCACATAGTTGTATATCTTAGTTGCAGGTCCTTCTAGTTGTGGCATGTGGGACACCGCCTCAACGTGGCCTGACGAGCAATGCCATGTCCGCGCCCAGGATCCAAACCGGCGAAACCCTGGGCCGCTGCAGCAGAGCGCACGAACTTAACCACTCGGCCACGGGGCCAGCCCCTCTTACTTTTTTTTAAATTGAATACTTGTAGTTTATAAAAAACCTACCTTTTGATAGTTCATCATGAATCTTCCGTATTTCTTCTTGAATTGGAATAAGTTTCCAATGTGTGAATTTAAGCCTCTGGCCAGGTTTTTTTTAGTGTTCATCTAAACCAGAGGCCAGCAAACTATAGCTCACTTCCTATTTTTGTACAGCCCGCAAGCTAAGAATGTTTTTTACATTTTTAATGGGTTTTCTTCTGTAAAAACATCACAGAAGAAAATACAGCAGAGACAATGTGGCCACAAAGCCTAAAATGTTTACTGTATTATCCACAGCTCATGTCATTCTCTTTGGCTGCCATTTGTACCAACCATATTCAAATAGAATAACTTTTGAAACTATCAGTCATCTGGTAAAAATGGTAATTTTCAAAACATAGATTTTTTTCTAATAAACCGTGTAGTAAAAATGTTTTAGGTTATGTACTAAAGCTGGTTTCACACAGAAATAATGAAAAACTAACTTGCTACCTACAAGAATGTATATCTTTCCTGTGTTTACTCAATGGAGGAAATGGAATTTATTTCTAGTGGTGGATTTTTGTGTACAATTGAGGCTACAAAAATTTGAAAATTGACAAGGAGTATAAATTATTTAGTCAGTTACATGAAACACATAGTTCTTTTGAATGGAAACCCTGTAGACCTTTGGCATTTTTTGTTTGTTTACTGTCCTAGTGTGAATGACCTATAGTGGAAAAGAATTGAATTTGAATAGTTATTTCTACTGAAGGAAAAACTAAAGAGGAGGCAGAAACACTTCTCTATGCAAACAGTGTCTTTGTTCTTATTTACAGCCTTTCCCCAGTCTGAGTATAAAATTATGTTCTAATTTCTCAATCAGGTTCCCTTCTTTGGTCCACTTTTTGATGGTGCTATTGTGAATGGAAAGGTCCTGCCCATTATGGTTCGAGCAACAGCTATAAATGCAAGCCGTGCTCTGAAATCGCTGATTCCACTCTATCAAAACTTGTATCCTTTTTAATAGTATGGTTTCTACTCTCATATCTGCCTACTTTCCAAGGTAAATATTTGTTATGTGTTGTTAAGACCTTTGAGTTTCTGTTTATTGATGTATAGATGATGGAGTTCCTCCCAGGGTTTGAGCAGTTATGATACTTGAATGATTTTATTTTTTTTAATTTTCTCCTTTTTATCTTTTTTTTCTTCTCCCCAAAGCCCCCCAGTACATAGTTGTATATTCTAGTTGTGGGTCCTTCTAGTTGTGGCATGTGGGACGCTGCCTCAGTGTGGCCTAATGAGCAGTGCCATGTCCGCGCCCAGGACCCAAACTGGTGAAACCCTGGGCCGCTGAAGTGGAGTGCACAAACTTAACCACTCGGCCACGGGGTCGGCTCCCTGAATGATGTATTTTTTAATACACTTTTAATCACTACTTATCTTTTGGTTAATTAATTAGAGCCCCATTATGTGCTAGGAACTCTGCTACTCTGGATGTGCAGAGATAACCAAAATAGTCATCAGAAACTACTCAATCTAGTTGAGGAAATCTACTATTTTCGCTATATGTGCTGTAATAGAGTTATGCACATAGTGTTCTGGAAATATAATAACAAGGGGCCTCTCAGCTGGAAGGGATGGTGCTCTTAGGAAATATTTCTGAGAAATGTGAGGATTGGACCAATCTTGAAGGATGCATAAGAGTTAATCGGGTGGATGAGATTAAGAAGAGCATTCCAAGCAGGGGGACAACATAAACAGAGACCTGGAAGTATAAGAGAACATGAAGTGTTTAAGAACATGGCTTCTGGAGCCAAATTGCCTGGACTCAAATGCTGGCCACCACTTCCTTAGCTGTCTAGCCTTGGGGAAGTTATTTAACCTCTCTGAGCCTCAATTTCCTTATTTATAAAGTGAGCGTGGTAATAACATGTAGCTTATGGTGTTATGAGAACTGAATGAGTAAGTATGTGTAAAGCTCTTAGAACAGTGCCTGGGACACAATGTGCACATAGCTTTAAATTTTAAATTGTTTCCGATAGTCCTTTCTAAAATAGATTTTAAATTGTTTCCGATAGTCCTTTCTAAAATAGATTTTAAATTGTTTCCGATAGTCCTTTCTAAAATAGATTTGGGTTTCCATATGCTTTTTCTATACGATTAAAAAAATTCAGTTATGTTTCTTTTACATAGTAAATTGTAGATGTTAAACTTTACAGGGAAGGCTTTTTTAAATATCCTATGTTCTGTTCCACATGAAATGGATTTATTGTAAGTCTGCCACATACATTTTCTTCTTTTGATGAAAATTGACTTAGGCAATCTGATTCTTATGTATTCTGATGCTGTGAAATGGAATTTTAGGTGGATCATGGCATGTTACATAGATTAAGCGTAATAACATTTATATAACATTTCTTATTTATAGCAGTTATATCGTCACTTTAAGTTGAAAACTCAGATTTGAAGTGATCGTTGTTGTCAAATGTAAGGATTCAATTTATTATTTCCTGAATATCTCTAGAAAGGTAGCTAATCTTACAAGGAACATACAGATTATTACCCAAAGACTAATCTCATCCACGTGTCAGCTCTGCTGAGGTGTCCTCTCTGACCTTTTCCTCTTTACAGTCGCCTGATCCTGATGTTCATCTGAGGATGGTGTCCTCCACCGTTTTACTTAAGACCCAGTTGAAAGAATGCCTTAAACCTTTTGGGAAAGTGGTGAAAGATTAGATTGTAATACAAAAATCTGTTTTCCTCTCATGTCATAAAACAAGAACTCAGTTTATCAAGCTAACACAAACTGTTTCTGGCCCAAACAATATTTCTGACCTGTACAACAACAAGGTACAAAGAACATTTGGGATGCACACCTTACCAACAATGTAGTTAAAAATGCAAGACTAAAAGTATTGGAGATATGGCTTAATTTCTTTTTCCTGCCTAAGGTTCATACGCTTGAGAATTATTTCAGACTTACATGTTATACTAGAGGTCTAAGCTGAATTTGCGGTTAGAAAACATTGACTTTTAACTCAGGCTCTGCAGTCAAGTCACAGAATCTCTAAACTTCTAAACTTCACTTTCTTAATCTGTTAAAAAGATTCTAACACCCATCTCGGAATTGTTGTGAAGATTAAATGAGATTAGTGAATTTGGAAGTGCTTAGTAAGTGAAATAAGGTACATTATTTTGTGTAATGATTAACTCTGTTATCTGTAAAGATTGCAGTCAATATAAAACAACTCTACCAACACCAAAGAATTGCCTAATTGGGTTTTTGTTTGGTTGGTTGGTAGGTTAATTGATTGGATTGGATTTTCAGGCCTGCTTTGTGAAGTTCTTAACAGTTAATCTTGCTGAGACATTAATAGATACCACATTCGAGAAAATTCTAAGATGGTAAAAGAGAGTTTCAGATGAAAACAGTAAACATGAACACTTTGTTTACGCAGAAAGTATGAGTAATTTCTATCAGCAAAGCTACTTCTGGAACACTCAGAGTAAAAACATTAAACTAGACAGATCAAACAAATGTTTTCTTGACTTGGAAGCTTGAATTTAGAAGCTATAGGAAAATTATTGTCCTGTACTAATTAAGTATGTAGTAGAGAGACTCCTAGCCTTTGCTAATCTGAAGAACATATAGTCATCCTTCACAAAGTTCTATATTAATTCTAAATGTTAAGGAAAATGACTTCATCCAGCTGGAGTACTTGATTTTTAAATGAAAGTTTATATAATAAATTTCAACTATGGGTCTTTATTTTAAGATACCGAAATATAAATGTCTTTTAAATAACAAATACACATTTCAGAAATACAGTAAATTTTTAAATGTATGTTTTTGACAAATCCAGATAAGTTCCCATTAAGGAAAAAAATCTTACTTTCTAAAACAGATCAATAAAACTTAACAGAAATTGAGATAGAAGCAGGCTTTGAAAATCACCAGAGTTACTCCTTCAGTCCTCATAAGAGAAAGTGAAGGAGTAAAAGAATATATAATAAACTCAATTATATTTGGATAATTGTACTGCTGTGCCAGTTATTTCATGCCCAATAAAAGTGCCCACTAAGATTCCACAGCATAAATTGTGCTATTTATGATCATTAAATACAGTTCAAATTTTATCCTAGGAACATCTTCTGTAACTATGAATCTAATGTTGTTCACTAAATGAGGACAATATTGATTGTCATATGCTGCCCAAATCGATCATGCTGGCAGCCAGAATTACAGTAATCTGTCAGTATTGATGACTGTCTTTCAAGCTTTGAAACCTCTCCTTCACTTCACTTGTCGTTTCTTGCATTACTTGTACTTGAAAAGCATTTTCTTGCAACCTCTGACTTTGTCAGCTGGGTAACTTTTTTTGTCTCAAGCTCAGTTTGTTGGTTTGATCATACAATTAGAACTGAAATGCAACACTTGAGAGGAAGAGGAGGCAAATTCTGAGTAACCATTGGACCTGAGGAGTATTTCAGGTTAATCTTAGACATCATTTATTAGTTACCTGTTGAGAGAGAGTGAGAGTGTGTGTGTGTGTGTGTGTGTGTGTGTGTGTTTTGAGGATTTGGGGGGTTTTTTTGCAGTGAAAGTAATAATTCCAAAGTGTTAGTTTCATAGTCTTAGCTATCATGATTCTATTCCTTAAATAAAAATTTTAAGACAATTATTCGTTTTGATCCTAGAGACATTTTGAGTATGCACAAATGTTAAATTTGGTGTTATCATGTATGTACTGTTTCTTTTTCTTTTTTAATGTAGGATTTATTATACATAGAAATTTTCAGAAGTTCAGTATATAATCATGGTGTATTAAGGCTCTCAGAGAAACATAATCATGTGTATGTACATACAAAAGAGAGAAAGATTGATTTTAAGAAATTGGCTCACACGATTGTGGGGATTGGCAAGTCTGAAATCTGCAGGAGTTCCTAGGGAGAGTTGATGTTGTAGTGTAAGTCAGAAAGTGTCTGGAGATAGAATTCCTTCCTTCCTTGGGGACCTAAATCTTTTCTCCTAAGGCCTTCAACTGATGGATGAGGCCCCCCCACATTGTGGAGAGTAATCTACTTTACTCAGAGTCTCCTGATTTAAATAGTAATCACATCTAAAAAATACCTTCACAGCAACATCTAGACTAGACTTGTGTTTGACCAACAACTAGGTACCATGGCCTAGCCAAGTTGACATAAAATTAACCATCTCTCATGTCCTGTTTTCCTTAAGTTTTTCTTTTTAAACTTTCTTACTGTAAAATATAATTTGAGAAAAGAACTTAAATCCTAAACGTACTATATGCTGAATAATTACAGTTTAACCACCGCCAGGTCAAGAAATAGAACTGTACTATTTTTCTTCTATCAAAAATGTTTATTGATCAGTTACATAGTAGTGGTAAAAATTTTGAGAGAGATGCGAAGACAAATCAGACGATAATCTTGTCTTCGATAAGCTTATAGTTTAAAAGGAGAGAATAATGTGTACATTAATAATTATAACGTGAGATAAAATGTGTCATAGTAGGGTTATAAATAAAATGCTGTGGGAGTTCCAAGGAAGAAGTCCTTTCTTTGGAGTAAGAAAATCAGGGAACAATGTCTAGAAAATCTGGGCCTCGAAGAGTGAGATTTGAGTAGATGGAATGCAGCATGTCTGTTATAATTTATATTTTGGGACTTTATGTGTATATGGGTATATGATATATATGTAATATTCTGAAATTTCAGTATGAGGGATATTATAAAATTAGACACTTTAAAAAACACTTTCTTCCTAGGTTTAAATATTCTGTCCTGCCAAACCAGTATTATTTGATTTCTTCTAATCTGTTTAGATTTGACTTTTTCTTAAATGCCAGAATTGGGTTTCTGTTTAACTCTATCAGACAAATTACCAGAAGTCAATGATCATTCTTCAATTAGTCACAGTTTGTTATCCCTGCAGTTCTACTACTCAAATGTTAAGAACCTGTTGCAAAAGTATGAGTGCCAAAACAAAA